CCCACAGTAGGTTGTTGTTGATAATGTCTGGCTTTAGTAGTTTTTCAAGTTTCCACCCGATACAACAAGAATTATCTTGACATTTGTTTTGAAAATCCCAATTTTGGCGTCGATTGGTAGTTGTTTGGAGTTAAAGATCTTGTTCGATTGTAAAAGTGAAGCCCTTGCTTTGCCAATCTCTGCACTACTATAGTAGATCTTAATCCATTGTGCTTTTAGTTTACTCACACAAACATTAATTTTATATTTTTACATTAACTACTAACGCCTGTTACGCATGATGGAGCATAGACCACCGATTAATATTCTCCAACCTATTCTTCCCTGTGCCTTCCTTTCCAGTTCTACTCAGTTACTATCTATTCTTCTTATGTCTATCTCCAATTCTTGGAGTAATGCGTCCTTTGGTCCCGAGGATTCCAAGTTAGGGCTTGTCTTATGATGTACGCGGGTAATTTCCTTTGTGTATGTCCTATCCACCTTCCAGAACTTGCTCCTGGTTTCTTTGACTGATGGAATCAGAAGTATCCTAAGTAAACAACTATTAATAAACACAATATCTTGTGGATGATGGCTTTCATGGTTCGCCATGTTCCCGCTCTATACTCCTTCAGAAGACCCTCTAGAGTTATCGCTGGTCCCAAGCCCAGATAAAGGAGTAGGGTTGAGCATGGAGTTAGAAAACCATATCTTGCCATAAACAAACTTACTAAAAATACGTTAACCAGAAAAATATCTACACATACATAAAGTAGATAAACATTTTCAGAGTGTTATTCGTAACATCATATTACTATTACAATAGATAAATTTCAACATAGCTAATTTAATGAATTCATGCTGACTGATATGCTTTTTCAGTTGATATGCTTGAATGCTATTACGAGTTCACTTTACTCAATAGACGGAGGGCAGATCAATGGTACAGTGATACGATAGGCTACTCTAATCCGGCTAACTATATCAAAAAGTCTTGATAAGGCGTACAAAGTGTATTCTACAATCACCCAGAGAGTACGAGCTTATTTATACATGATAGAAATAAGAAAATAATGGTCAGATAGTCGTAAAAACAAGAAGCGTACACAGACCAGAATATATTGTTCAACAGTCAAGAAGATGATGATGAGTTTATGTCACAATTCAAGCTGAAATATAAACAGGATAAAATCAATTCCAAATTCCAAAAGGAAACAGCATTCCAAAAGAATTCCTGAAATCATCATTCATTCATTGTTAGACCATCATTAGAAACCTGTAATCACTCGACGGCGGTTCTATCCTGGCAAGGGATTAATCAGCAGTACGCATCCACGATTCCTGCTAATCGCAGAGTTCAAACCCAAGACCTTCGGTCTAATATATATATATATATGCATACACGGAACGGCCATAAAGCGACTACAGGTTTCTAATGGTGGTTTAACAGTCATTGATTCCTGATTTCAAGGATTCCGAATTGAATGAAAATAAATCCTGTAGATTTCTCTTTCCTTTTGAAATGTGGAATTGATTTTATCCTTTACTTTACTTTTTTACTTACGCCTGTTACCCCAAATGGAGCATAGGCCGCCCACCAGTTTTCTCCAACCAAATCTGTCCTGGGCTTCTCTTTCCAGTTCTGTCCAATGTTTGTTCATTCTTCTCATATCTTTCTCTATTTCTCTGCGTAATGTATTCTTTAGCCTTCCTCTTTTCCTTTTGACTTGAGGGATCCATGTGAGGGCTTGTCTTGTGATTCAGTTAGGTGCTTTTCGTTGTGTGTGTCCTATCCACTTCCACCGCTTCTTCCTGATTTCCTCCTCCACTGAAATCTGGTTTGTTTTCTCCCACAGTTCGTTGTTGCTGATCGTGTCTGGCCAACGAATCCGAAGTATTTTGCGTAGACAACTGTTAACAAACACTTGTATCTTATGGACGATGGCTTCCGTAGTTCTCGAAGTTTCCGCTCCATAGAGTAGAACAGTCTTCACATTTGTATTGAAAATGCTGATTTTGGTTTTGGTTGAAAGTTGTTTGGAGTTCCAGATATTTTTCGACTGTAAATTTTATCCTACTTATATTTCAAATTTCAATGCAAAATAAACACTTTTTACCCAAGTTATTATAAAAATTGACATTTTTCACATTTTCTATGTTTTATCAATGTCTAAACTACATGTGATCATTTTTCATCACAAAATGGTGATTGAATACATACAGATCCCTACAAAGTTTAAAAAAAAATATGCATGTATGTTGTAGTTTTGCAACTCCCAATCTTCATTCATTCATTCATCATCACCTACTTACTTACTTACTTACTTCACTTCTCCCACTGCGTAATTAACATGTGTCACTCACTCTTTCATTAACAGTAAGTAGTATTCAATAGGTTCAATTCCTGTTGAATTTGACATTGCGCCACATTTTTGTTTTAGTGATTTAATTACCTTGGCGTTGTTATGAAATTCAATGATGATAATTTAATTTTTTCCTGTTCTTATTATGTGAAATTTTTTGGTTTAGTTGTTGTTTAATTTACTTCATTGTTGAGTATTTGATTGAGGAAAATTTTCTAATAGAAAGGGCTACATAACTCTATGATCATGAAATTTATCGATTTTTTTCTCGTTCGAAATTCTTTAACAGTGTTATTCATGACATTAAAATCGTTAAATTTCTCGGCCAACATGATACTTTTGGACGATTGCATTAAAATCCAATATATTTCTAAAGGTTACATCATGGAATAACCTCAGATCGGTTATCACTGAGAACTAGGCTTAGCATAGAACTTCCGCAGAGGTTTGTGTTAATGTCCTTCCTTGTGGAATCGAACAAAATAATATTCATATCTTTCGGTAAGTGCCACTAATTTGACGATCATAGGTTGGTCTGTTTGAAATTCTTTTCATTTGCCTAATATTGGGTGACGAGTTTCAAATTCCGACTGTGGTTGATTAGTGCACACAACCAGCCATCATTATTAATTGCACATTTCAGTCTATCTATGACATTATCCTGAATCATTCAGTGTTATCGCCTGCTTATTGGTTCACTTTTAATAAGGTTGACGTTAAATGAAATCGATTTAACATAAAAATCCGATAGATCACGGTAACGCACTTCACTTGTCAAAAAAACAACACATCACTCAGTATACTGAAATAGAAAAGATCGATTTGACTATTCATACGGCACAATCTTGTTTCATCTAATGTTGACGCCTTGTAGCATCTCACATATGTTCGAGTTTGCCTACACTTAATCTGGTTAAGCCCTTTGTTACACATGCACGTAAACACGTCAATTTGATATGGTTGAACTATTACGAGTTCACTTTAGTCAGAAAATCAGAGCGAGGAACGAGGATCCGGCGACGTGACCCTAACCCCCACTGAATAAAAGAAGAAGACTTGATATGGAGTAGAACTTGTATTCTACAAGCATCCAGAAATTACGAGGTCCGAGTCCAGAAGAGAATCAGGATACCGAACAAGGGATCTGGGTCCGGGCCTGGGTCATAAAACGTTACAGATAATGCATATTTATACAGTTAGATCGAATACGAAACAACATTGAAGTCTGTTAGGACGGTCAATAGGAAACAACATTTGAATTGACATTGATAGTTAGGACGACTAATGGGAAACGACATTGAAGTATATGACATTGACGACCAGAATATTGACCAGTAGAACTAGACTTATAAATAATTTGCACGACGGGGTTGTGAAGATTGTTAAGTTACACATTTTTGAAACCATGAACCGATCAATGTTAAATTATCATTAGAAACCTGGAATCACTGGACGGCCGTTTCGTCCTGGTATGGGACTCATCAGCAGTGTGCATCCACGGGTCTTGCACCCCACAGGATTCGAACCGAGGACCTTCGGCACCGTGCGCGAACACCCTAACCGATAGACCATGAGCCGGTATCTAACGGTGTTAATGTCTAACTTAATCAAATTCACGGAGTTGCGCAACCTCAAACACAGTCTTCGGTAGACACTGCTTACACCCGAACAGGTTGAACTTCACTGGTCACATCTTCCCACTAGAACTCGGAGAAGATTCCTGACGAAGCTAGTCACTAGTGAGATATTGGATGAATATAATAACACCCATTTCAGTTAACTTATTTAACAACCAGAGTCATTGGTATCGCAACAACGTATTTGTACCGGTGAGATTTTATTATTATTGTGTTGGTATGAGCAGGTATGATTGGGCATCGCTTACCACCGACATGCACATATTCATTCTACTCGCTTTAATGTTAATCGCTTAAATAATTCGATGACTCATTCATTTTCCCAAGTGTATAGATATGTACATTTTAATCCCATTCAATCATTCGCTCGTCAGCACTCGCATTACATTTTTGCTTCGTATGCTTATGATTTTGACGGTCTATGTGTAATGCGATAATAAACCTCATCATCGCTTCATATTCATCTTCTGAATTGTTTACACCATTGGGCGTTATCTAATAACGATTATCAGGACGAACAACGGTATACAACATCTAAGGAATGATATCCGAAACTGACTGACACAGAACTGCCGACCCCACACACACACACTCATCACCACAACAGCTTTTCAAACAGAAGTACATCCATACAGTAATAATGAGAATGTCAGCAAGTAAAACAAATCAAAAGAATACACTTGTTCTTTCATTATTGCAAATTAACATTTCTTGCAGTTAGTTAAGTGTTTCTGATAAAATAGATCTGATTAAATATTACAAATTTATACACTTTTTTCTTCCTGTTACTCAATTCATCTTTTTTTGTAAAAAATACGATCAATCGATGTTATGTATTGATCAGTTAGTTGTTTTTCGTAGAAAGAGATGTCAGTGGTCAATTCATTGTTGACAAATGTTATCGGAATACATTGTGTGTACAGAGGTAAATAGTACTTGAAAAAATAAACTCGTATGTGTGTTTGTGCGTAGTGTGTGTGTGTGTCTGTGTGTGTAGTGTAGTGTAGATTGAATAAATGTATCATGTCAACAGAAATAATAAACTGTTCACAATGAAACACAAGAATGTAACCAGTAGTTTATTGATTCTCTTGCACTGTTGACCTAAAATACAGAATGAATTAATCCTTGATTTAACAATACACTTTTGTATTTGAAGGGAATAAGTCACAAAACGATATTGAATAACAGTAATTTAACAGTCAGTGTTTCAGAATTTCATTTCTAGAGTACATTAGTCAGTGTTCATATTGACCAACAGTAAAATACATTGAAATCATGATTCAATAATTGTTAGATCACCATTAGAAACCTGTAAGCACTGGATGGACTCTTCGTCCTGACATGGGACTCATCAACACTACGCATTCATGATTCCTTTCACTCGCAAGATTCGAACCCAGAACTTTCAGTCTTGCCCACGATCGCCTCACCTCCGGAACACTGAGCAGAGGGCATCCAACCGTGGTAACGTCTTACTATGATCAATCTGAGTCCCGTACCAGAACAAAACAGCCGTCTTTCAGAGATTCCAGGTTTCTAATGGTGGTCTAGCAATGATTGGTTGATAATTTCAATGTGTAAAAACAATGATATCCATAGCTCTTATTGAAGAAATGGTAACATTTTATGATGCCTACATCTTCCAGCTGAACATAGTTAGTGAAGCTGGTAGGCTCTTCTGGAGAATATGCATACAAGAAAGTATAGCACGACTCCAGAAGCATAGTAGCTGTTTCTACAGGCTCATGGTTTTGTAGTCTTATCTCTTGTCTGATGTTGCCTGAATATTGTATATCCCCTGAATGAACCATGGTGTAAGTTGTCAGTCGCATTTGGATTATTTTAGGTTTTCTTAGTTCTATGGGTGCCGTATATGCTGACGCAGATCGTAGATGCCGCGGATTAGACACTTAAAGATGCCGATTCCATTCACTCGATCGTTTGTATATGTTTTCACCGTCGTCTAGTAGGAATCTGTAGATGTTGGCATCAGTTTTTCCTCATTTATTTCCTTGATGATAACAGCGAATAGACGATCACAAAGATGGCAATGTTTAAACTTGACTGATCTGATCTGATTAATAGTAGGTTATAATACAATACGCATGACCAATCACTGACAGTTTAGTTCATTTATTCCAAAAAGAATCAGTTTTCAATTATAGAAGCTCAGATAATCTTGCATAGATCAATTCAATCTTTACAGTATTATTTACTGAGTGAATAGATACATTGAGAAATGGTGAATATTTATAACATATGTGCTTAAAACATTGTTCATAAAGTTTCTATCAAATAATAACTATCTGACTAGCTTCTTAAGGAAACTCTCGGAGTTCCAGTGAGAAGACGTGACCAGTGAAGTTCAACCCTGTGGGTGTAGACAATTACTACTGAAGAAAAATGGGTGAGGTCGCGCAAAATACCTTAATTCATCAGAGTTAGACATCAACACCGTTGTATACCGTCCTAGTGGTCCAAAGGTTAGGCATTCGCTCGCAAGACCGAAGGTCCTAGGTTCGATTCCTACTAGTTGCCGGAGTCGTTGATGCTCATTGCCAATGAGTCTCATACAATGGAACGAAATGGCCGTGGAGTAACTCCAGGTTCCTAACGGTGGTCTAAAAAGCGTTGACTGATGATTTCAACGTGTAAATGGACAAAAGTATGCAAAAAAAAACTGTTCAATTGATCAACGATATGCTATTCAAACTGAAAATTTTTCAAAATTAAATAAAATACCAACTAATAATAATCTTAAATAACAACTTACCAGCATCATGAAATTCATATACACCAAAAAATCCTGTTCTTACATACATGCCATTAGAAAAAAATTTCAAATTTACACATGGTTCATGCCATTGAACTTTGAATGGATTCAACGGATTTTGTTTATGACAAAATCGACGTTTTGGTGAACTCAATAATTCTGTTGAATAACAACTACTGATTTCAACATTATCACCCATTGTGTCATCCATACAACTTGATCAATAGGGGGAAAAAAACAAGGTAAAATTTAGGGGAGAGAAATAATAATGATTTAGAATAATAAATAGTCAGTACCTATGTGGTGCGAGCTACTGATAAGTAGTATATGACGTGAGTGTCAACGTAATGTCCGGCAGCAGAAGATGGGGGTCAGATCAAGAAAGGAAGAGTTAGAACACAATGGAATTTGTATGAAACGCATGAATAGTGACAATGGATTGATGTTTTGCAACAGGAACAGTCCAGTTTGATATGATGAACTGATATTTTGCAAATTAACGATTTACTATATGGTTTTTCGATTTTACTGAGTAACTCTGTAATTTTCGGTTGCCCCACCTGTGTTCTCATTCACTACACCTATATGAGAATATGATATGCTTTTCTCTGCATATAATAGATAAATGTGTGAAAAAGAGAGATGATGGAAGAGTTTCATTTTGTATTGATCGATTAGTTGGTCGTAGTGGTGAATGTTATGCTTGTCTTGTGCCTTAGTGCTGACCCGAATTCTATCGACTGAAATGAAATATGACATCTCGTTCACTGTGTCCGTGTTAGATAGTTGCAAGTAATTGAGAGAGGAGGATGGTCGTTGTGGGTAATTGAATCTGTCATTCAAATCAAAGTTCAGCTGTTCAGCTTCAAACGACTTCATCGGGATCCTGGAGCCAATGTTCACCATCGTTTAGGAATGTGGGTATTCTTATTCCCTAGGTTGAGTGATTCGTAACCACCAACTCGATTAAAGCACTAGACATTCACTTTTCATCTTCTCAGTGACGTGAACAACATTCCCGACTTGATAGTTTTGAACACATTAAAAGTTTAGACAGTTTAATGATAGGTTTATAATATCCAGATAACTAAATCGTATAAGTTTTAACAATATGTTGAAAGTTTCAGCTATTCATTTTTCTCTATAGTTTTGAAAGCTTTTTTGAATCATTTCGATATTTTAAGCGATTGATTTCATGATCATAGAAGATGGTTTTCTGTTCTGAATGACCGAATAATACGATTTCGATTTGATTAAAACAACATCTATAAGCTACACTGTTACGTTCGTCACTAGTTACAATTGAAGCTATTACGAGTTCACCTTAGTCGATGAAACGCGAACGAGATAATTACCAGCGTCCAGGTAGGCTACCTTGAATCCGAAACTGCAAAACAGAAGTCTCGATAAGCGTACAAATTGTATTCTACAACACCCAGCAATCACACCATACGATCAAGCACACAACTCTCGTTTATTTATACATCATAGAAACGTCCTTGGGACAGTCACACGTGAAATCCAAGATAAGGCCCCAACCATATAGTCTACATCTACCAACATGACTCAGTCTACTTATCAGTGACTTCATGTTTTGGTCTGGCCGCCCCTAACTTTCTTCCAACGAATGGAATGATCAATTGTATCTCTCTGTCTCTGTTATGCTCGTCAAGCGATAAACGAGAGAGAAGACAAATGATCCAGTGACACGATAGGTTGCTCTATTTCGAGCGTCTGAAGCCCCCGCTAAGTAGAAGAAGAAGTCTTGATAAGGCGTAGAAAGTGTATTCTACATGCACCCAGAAAATATGAGTTTGACAAGCACGAAAATCGAGTTTATTTACGCAAGAAAGAAACTTCATTGGGAGAGCCACAAAAATAGGGTACTAAATAGCATCAACCAATAACAGACAAAGATTTTCCGAGTGGGAAATGTTAGCTGGAGGTCAACTGATAAGCCCATGCTCGGAAGAACGAAATCCAAAATTAGGACCTCTATCAATTGAGTTCTGGGGATCTAACGTCCCCAACACTCTAATTACTAGTCTTTCTTGTTATGATAAAGAATCATTGTTAGACCACCATTAGAAACCTAGAACAACTAGACGGCCGTTTCGTCCTGGTATGTGACTCATCAGCAGTGCGCATCCACGACTCCTGCATCTCGCAGGCAGTAACTACCAAAGACAAATGGGTAGGGTCGCGCAAAATCCATAGATCAATCAGAGTTAGACATTAACACCGTTGGATGCCGGCACAGTGATCCGGTGGTTAGGCGTTCGCGCACAATACCAAAGGTCCCGGGTTCAAATACTGCGAGGTGCAGGAGTCGTGAATGCGCACTGCTGATCGATGATTTCAAATATGTACGATGAAAACGAATAGATGGCAATGTCAGAAGACGTGTCAACAATACTTCGAGTGGAATGGATTAATTGAATTGTCCAAAGGCTCAGTGAGACAAGCCATATGGGCTCGACATGAAAAGTACACACACTACAGATAATTCAATAAAATTCCAAATAAATTATTTTTAGCAATTAAAACCAGGGACATTAACTTTATCGCTGTGAAAATGAAGGCACTTACGTTTTAGAAGTACTTTCTACATCGAATTCCACAAATGAAATGTCAATTCTTCTTACATTTACACCAGAAAATCGATATTCACAAATAACATCAATAGGATATAATCCAGGATAGTTTGGTGATGAAAAGTTCCCTGTTATTGATTGAGAACGACAGAATTCGAAGTAGCAACCTGTGAAAGTATGAAACAATGGATTTGAAATTTATATCAAAGAGGACTACTTCATTGATAAAGAGTATTATGCTGTCTCTCTAGAGCTAATCTCTTGTATTGGTGAATAAGAAAGGAGTTCTAGTATGAGACACATCAGCAGTGCGCATCCATGACTTCTGCCACTCTCAGAATTCGAACCCAGTTACTTCGGCCTTACGCGTGAACGCATAACCTCTGTACCACTGCGCTAGCAGTAATGTGGTGTCGGGATTCATTGGTTGTCTTACGTGGAGTAGGATCATCAACTAGGATCATCATTAACTATAAGATGCGAATAATAATAAAAAGTATATGATTTCTCATACCGACCAAATTGCAACATTACGGATCATTGTGGAGCAATCAATTGAATGGAACTCACCACTCTACATCAACTTCATCGACTACGAGAAAGTATTCGATAGCATGGGTAGGAAAACAACGTGGAGGCTTTTTCGACACTACGGGGTGCCTGAGAAAATAGTTAACATCATATGGAACTCTTATGATGGATTCAACTGCAAAATCGTACACGATGGACAGCTAACCGAATCTTTCGAGGTGAAGACCGGTGTCAGGCAACGTTGCTTACTCTCACCCTTTCTCTTTCTCCTGGTGATCGGCTGGATTGTGAAGACGTCGACATCTGGAGGGAAGTACGGTATTCAGTGGACAGCTAGGACGAAGCTGGACGATCTGGAATTCACAGATGATCTGGCCCTTCTATCGCAAACGCAACAACAAATGCAAGAGAAGACAACCAGTGTAGCAGCAGCCTCTGCAGCAGTAGGTCTCAACATACATAAAGGAAAAAGCAAAATTCTTCGATGCAACACAACATGCACCAACCAAATCATTCTTGATGGAGATGCATTGGAGGACGTTAACACCTTCACATATCTTGGCATCATCATCGACGGGAAATGTTGATCCGATGCAGATGTGAGGGCGCGGATCGGCAGAGCAATGGTTGCATTTCTACAACTGAAAAATATATGGAACTCCAAACAACTTTCAACCAAAACCAAAATCAGCATTTTCAATACAAATGTCAAGACTGTTCTACTGTATGGAGCGGAAACATGGAGAACTACGAAAGCCATCATCCAGAAAATACAAGTGTTGATTAACAGCTGTCTACACAAAATACTTCAGATTTGTTGGCCAGACACCATCAGCAACAACGAACTGTGGGAGAGAACAAACCAGATTCCAGTGGAGGAGGAAATCAGGAAGAAGTGGTGGAGGTGGATAGGACACACACTACGAAAAGCACCTAACTGTGTCACGAGACAAGCCCTCACATGGAACCCTCAAGGTTGAAGGAAAAGAGGAAGGTCAAGGAACACATTACACCGAGAAATAGAGAAAGATATGAGAAGAATGAACAAACATTGGACAGAATTGGAGAGGGAAGCCCAGGACAGAGTTGGTTGGAGAAAACTGGTGGGTGGCCTATACTCTATTGTGGGTAACAGGCGTAAGTAAGTAAGTGGGTAAGTAAATATGCCAGATTCCCTTTTCATTAAGAACCGTTTTAGGGTTTTGGTTGGTTGGTTTGATTCATGATTCACTATATAACACTAAACAGATAAATATTTAATAATATAAACAGAAAAATTTGTTTCTTTTGTGGCAGGAAATAAACAGTTGACATTGAAAATTGAAATTTGTTTACATATTTCAAGTATATTTCCTACCGAATTTATAAAAACAGAAAATCTTCAAACAAAGGAAAAAAACACTTCTCAAGTAAAGTGTGATTTGAGAATGATTTTTTCCCGATTATTCAACAAACTACTTCACGATAACAAGAGTAAATAAGAAATGAATTATCCCTTAAAAGATTTTGAACGTATTTAACTTTGCTATCACACTGATTATAAAAGTCGAATGAGAAATATATTTGTGTTATGCTCGTCACTTGAGAGGCTTGAAACTATTACGAATTCACCTTAGAGTCGATAAACGAGAACGAGAAAATGAACCAGTGAAACGGGAGGCTATTCTGATCCGTTGTCTCAACTAACTGAAGGAAAAGTCTTGATACGGCGTAAGAAGTGTGTTCTACAAACATCCATCAAAATACACTGATCTCAAGCACTCAAATCGCGTTTATTTATACATCATAGAAACGTCCTTAGGAGAGTCACATAAATAGCACACTAAAATATCACATCAACCAATCACAACCAAGGAGTTTCCTGGTTGAAATGCGATCTCAAGGTCAACTGATCAGCCCATGAATGAAATCCAAAATTAAGAACTTTATCCAATGAGTTCTGGGGATCTAACGTCCCCAAAAATTTGAGATTTGTTCATTTCGTACACGAATATGAAAGCCTGGAGAGTGATAAGACAGTACCGAACATAGAAATTGGTGTTTGACTAAACTAAGTGAGTAAAGACTAAGTCAGTCTTTCTATAAAGCGATTGTTCGATAAATAACCTATTAGATCATTACTAATATACATACACTAGCCGGTCTCATACATGAAAACATCCACAGCTAACAAATAACCTAAGGTGAACTTGGTAGATCACAGAATCCTTGACTAGATTAGAATAATTTATCCCGAAAGCAAGTTAAAATCAATGTTTTAATTGAAATCGTGAATCGATCGCTATTAGATCATCATTAGAAAACTAGAAGCACTAAAGAGATGTTTCGATCAATGTGAGACTCTTCATCAGGGCGCCTCCATGACTCCAGGATTCGAAACTAACACTTTCAGTCTCGCGCTAGATCACTTCACCTCTAGACCACTGAGCCAGTAGAGTCCAACGGCGTTAATATCTAACTTTGATTCTGCGCAACCTCATACGTTGTCTTCGGTAGTTACCGCCTACGTCCAATAAGGTTGAACTGCACTGGTCATATCTGACTAGAAATCTGAGAATTTACTCACAAAGCTAGTCACTTGTGAGCACATTCAATAATCGGACGAAACGGCTGTCCAGTGCATCCAGTTTTCTAATAGTGGTCTAACAATCATTGATTTATAATTTCAACTAAAAATAACAACAATCTCCATAATTCTATTATGAATAAAATCTAGTGAAATCAAGTTTAGAAGGCAGTGAACTCCTGAAAGGATGTCGAACTAACCTCTGGTTTAGTGGCAACTAAAATCACGATTATCTTATCTTTACCTCTGATTGTCCACCAAATAACAATGATATGCTCGTCAATTGGTATGCTTTAAACTATTACGTGTTCACATTAGTCGGTAACGAGAGCGAAGACAAATGATCCAGTGATACGATATGCTGTTCTAATCTGTTTGACTCTGGCCAGACTAAATATATCAAGAAGTCTTGAGAAAGCGTAGAAATTGTATTCTACAAGCACCCAGAAATCGGAGGTCAACAAGAGACCATCAACCAGCCAATGACAGTCAAGGATTTTCCGGGTAGGAAATGTAATCTCAAGGTCAACTGGACAACTTATGCGCGAAAACATGAAAAAATCCATAACTAGGACTTTTTCCAAGTGAGTTCTGGGGATCTCACGTCCCGAACAAATAATGTGTCTACTAGCCTGAATAAATAAGCGTTTTATGAATTATTTAGGTGTTAAAAATAAATAGAAAGAGGATTAATCTGGTATTTTTCATTTCATCTTGTATAATTATTTGCATTAATCTACACATGAGTATTTGATTTTGACCAATTGGGTCTATCGTGCTGTTACGGGTATCAGCGCGGTTATCACTTCCCGGTTGCCCACACCGTGCAAGGTTGTTTCTAGAGGAACCTGGAAAGGAAGGTAGATTAGTGTTGGTCTTAGAGACCTGGGAGCTTGACCGTAGAGTCCAAGGGACAAACACTTGAGGCCAGTCACGCACGGCCTTTCGATGAAAGGTTTTTTTAGTATCAGCTCCGCTCCTGAAAGCCCTTAGTGAGCACCCTTACATCCGGAGACGGAAATCCTTGAGGTAGGGTGGGGTGTGACATTTTTAGGGTCGACCTTTTCTAACCCTTCCTTCCTTGTGAGAAGGCAGCATTGCTGCAGATGCTGGTTGTTCGAGGGAAACACCTTACTGCTGTCAGACCTCTCTGCAACTGACTGACTGACACATAAGTATTTAGCGCTTATATATACATGAAGTTTATTTTAGTGCTAAATAATTGACTTACTTGGTTTCCGTTGATTCCCAGAAGAAGATGTAACACCATAATCTATAAAAATAAAATATTAATCAATAAAAAGGTCTGTATAACTGATATGTAAATGTACAAAGTCATAATAATCTTAATCAGTCTATCGAATGATATTCATGTACATACATATGCAGAGTTGTAAAAGTGGTATTCTGTGGCCATATTAGTTGATACGCTCACTTGACAACAATCTAGCAAAACAAATAACCATCCAAATCTTTATGACCTTGAGTTTGTTCCTTATGTAGTTAAATTGGTTTTTGTGGCCATTGACAAGATTATCACTACAACTTAAGATATCACAACAGATTGCATTTTATTTCTGATGTAACTGAGTCTTATGAAGATTCGTTTACCTTGTAAGTGGTACTCTGTGCGGACTAGTTTCATTGAAAAATTCCATTGAAAAACTAGTGACACTGTCTCATCATAACTTTTCATTCAGGTGCTTGAGAAAAGCTATTTTTATCCGGGATATAGTCAAATTCAAATAAGGTACAAGAATTTCCACTGTTAAATATATATATTTGATAAATAAATAATTTGCATTAAAGAATTGTGAAGATTGTCGAGTTACTCTGAAATTATGAATCGGTCAATGATAGACCACCATTAGGGACCTGGAAGCACTGGACGGAAGGTCCTGAGTTCGAATCCTACGAGTATCAGGAGTCATGGATGCGCGCTTCTGATGAGTCCTATACCAAGACGAAACGTCCGTCTAGTACTTCCAGATTTCTAGTGGTGGTCGAACGACGGTCCATTTATGATTTCAGTATCAATAATGAAATTGATGAGTTCTTGAAATTTGATTTCCAATATTCGATGGAAACTTTGCATGTTTTTTCGTAGAGTTTCGGGGATCCCCAACACCAACTCACGTACATACTGATGATATCAACTAATACACAATCTCGTAATTTTGTCAACCTAAAGTTTTATTGTCTGCTTATGCAAATAATCATTTCTGTAATAAGTAGTAATTGTGATTCATGACTACTTCACAAGTTATATTATAACGACCCCACTTACTGTTCTATGAACTGACAGTCTTTGCTTGTAAGCTTTATCATTATTTCTCTAGTGTACCTACCTATGTCAGGGCAGCCTTTTCGTCTTTTCATTGTAACATCGAATTTGAAATTCAAGCACTTTTCCAAGTGATTCAAATGTTTTTAAATAAACACTGTCCTAGTTCTTTATCGATGCTTAGTCTGTAGAAAATGATAGTCTTCAAAATTGTTTAACACTTTACGTAAATGATGTTTAGAGAAACTGTTGCTTATAACTTGTTCTCGATTTTTTTCACAAAACAGTAATTTACTGAGATGAGAGAAAGATTTATGTTTAAAAAATCATCTAGATCACTATTGAAATCATGAATTAATCATTTTTAGATCACCATTAGAAACCTGGAAACACTTCCTCCCCATTTCGTCCTATAGTAAGCAATGTACATCCACGACTCCTGAAACTCACAGGACTCGAACTGTTGGGGATGTTAGATCCCCGAAATTCGCTTGTTAAATGCCTTATTTCGGATTTCACGTTTGCGAGCATGGACTGATCACTTGACCTTGAGATTTCATTTACCACCACGAAAATCCATGGCTGTGATTGGCTGCTGTGTATTTTAGTGTGCCATTTTTGTGACTGTCCCAATGACGTTTCTATGATGTATAAATATACGAGAGTTGTGTGCTTGATTGTATTGTGTGATTGCTGGGTGTTTGTAGAATATACTTTCTACGCTTACAAAGCCTTTTATCTTCAGCTTGGGATTCAAGGTAACCTACCTGGACTCTGGTAATTGTCTCGTTCCCGTTTATCGACTAAGGTGAACTCGTGATAGCCTCAAGTATACTTAGTGACGAACATAGTACGAACCCAGGACCTTCCATCTTATGTGCGAATGCTTAACCTCTGGAACACTGAGCCCGTATCTTACGATATTTATTAGTTAACTTCAATCAATACACAATTTTACGCAACTTCATCTACTGTCATCGGTAAGCACTGTTCAACAGCCGAACATCGACGAACTGCACTGGTCACAATTTGTCACTAGAACTCAGAGGAACATCTTCATGTAGTTAGTCACAGAAATATCCTCACGGAGCTAGTCACTAGTGTCGGTCTAACATTGATCGATTCATAATTTCACTAAAGTAACTGAACAATCTTCACAACCCCACATCATGCAAATTGAGTTTCCCTTTTGAAAACAAAAAATCAAAGAAAATTCGCAAACATCACTATCTTACCTGTCACAAATTTATACTGTACATCATAGCCTAAATTGAATGGTTGATTCCTGTTGACGTTTTGCTCTAAATTTCTTCGATCAGTTATATTATTATGATTATAATTATGAATATTATTATTATTGTTATCGTTATTATTATTTGTAGACTGATTAATTTTCAGTATTATATCTAAACGTGGAATATTACCAGACATGAAACCTTTACTAGCAGGTGAATAATTCATAAAATCACCAGCACACAATCGGACAGGATCCGACGGTGTAGATTCCATGGAATCTGTACGAGATAACGATGCTGATGATGATGACGAAGGTTGTGTAATAGACAATGGGTCTACACCTAACGCTTCATAATTTTGTTTTAACATGTTATGAGGATTTAATTTGTTATTTAAGAGTTTATTGATATCATTGTTTGTGGTTAAGAGATTAGCACGATAATTGATTAATTCCAGTGTGATGGATGTAGGACATCTGGAAAAAACATAATAACAAGAACAACATCAGAACAACAGCAATAGGAGATTAATAGTCAATGACATTTTGCTTAGATAGTTCTTATCAGCTAGAATTGGTATAAAGTTATGGGGACTGTCATCATTGAGGATTTTTTTTAAGAAAATGTATCATAGTTGTGTGGTAGATATGGGCTCATCAATCAGTTCCGCGGTGGTCAGTATTCGATATAGTTCCTTTGACTTTGTATACTGCTACTCATCCTGATACCCTTTAAAAGACAACACCAAATGGTGTATGCAATTCAGAAGATGAATACGAAGAGTTGATTACGTTAATTATCGTACCACTTACAGATCACCAAAACTACAGGCATATGAGGTGGAAATGGGAATGATATGCGAGAGCGGAACAGCAAATGAACGAGTGAATGAACAGGATTGAAATGTACACATAGGAAAGTGAATCAGTCATCGAATTGCTTAAGCGACTAACATTAAAGAGAGTAGAATGAATAAGTTGGATGTTGACGGTAGGGAATACTCAATCATACCTGCTCATACAAACACGACAATAATAAACCGCACAATGGTACATATGAGTTATTGCTATACAAATGACCCTGTCTGTGAAATAAGTTAATCAAACGGGCTTAACTAAATAAAATGTGAAAAAAACTCTAATGTATATGAGGTGCTACAGTTGTTTTGTAATTGGTTTGTTTACTAAGAGTTCTTTCCCATCGATTACACATATATATATTTTTTGAAATGGATAATTGCGGCAATTATTCAAATTTATAACTTTTCATCATTAGACTGAATTAAAACTGGGCAGGACTGCGATTTAGATACACTAACTATGAACTTTCACGACTTCACTAATGATGTGACCTTGAACATTCAGGCCTCATAGGAAAAAACTATCAAGTCTTTAGAACACTTAGTTTTTGTTAAATTACTTACGTTTGTAAATTTTTCAATGAAATTTCAGAACAGATATTTTATCTCTGAAACATCTTGTCAGTTGAATGATACTACGTTACAATGATTACCTTCTCAGTAAAATTACAATCTAAGTACACATTATTATATACTTCAGTAAATAATCCATAGTTAGGATTCATATTATATTCATAATCGGTGGTTGAACAATTAAGGTGCACGTACGACTGTCCATTCATTTTCTATCCTTTTTAAAAAAAATTACTTATGACTTCGCAGTCTGACTCTGGATGAACTCCGCCTTGATCCAATTCGGGCAGAGTTCCTACAATTGAAGAATATCTGGAGCTAAAAACAACTATCAACCAACACTAGACACAATTTTCAATACAAATGTCGAGACAATTCTACTGTATGAGGGGGAAGCTTGGAGAACCATGAAAACCATCATCCACAAGTTTTTATTAACAGTTCAAGACATAAAATACTTCGGATTCGTTGGCCAGACATAATCAGCAACAACCTTTTGTGGCGGAGAACAAGTTCCATTTCCATCAGAGAAAGAAATCAGGAAGGATCACTGAAGGTGAATAGGACGCACATTGTAGAAAGCACTCAACTACGTCACAAGACAAGACCTCACTTGAAATCCTCAAGGTCATAGGAAAAGAAAAAGACCAAAGAACACATTACACCGAGAATCGAAGACAAACATAGGAAGAATATACAACTATTGGATAGAATTGGAAATGAAGGCCCAAGATAAAGTAGGTTGGAGAATGCTGGTCGTCAGCCTCTGCTCCACTAGGGGTAACAGATGTAAGTGAGTAAGTAAGTAAGTAAGTTACTCTGTATACATTTCTCCTTTCTAGATTTGTACAGCTGTTCAAATTCCTAATATTTTCAACTCGTGAATTTCATCTGTCTATGTTCATTCGATAATTATAGCACTTGGCTGCCATATTTATATATGTATATATATTTAGAAACAAATTACATTTTAATACATGCAAGTCAAAGTGTTATATAATTCCTTGTTTAAATTTGAAGTTTAGACGTTTGTGTAATGCTTACAAACTTTCTTATTATACAATTTCCCTAATCACACAACCTATTTACATGATTTAATTAGATCGCAATTGGATCAAACAAAACTTTCATTTATTTTAAACTAAGATTATGTTGTTTTTTAAATGTTTAAAATCTTTTTATACCTATTTTTTTTTTGTTAACCGACATTGAGATTAAACGAAAGAAGAATTATGGACAATTTTTGTACTTGTGAATAAGTTTAACGTAAACTTAGTTTGTTTTGAACAACTTTTGTAATCATTGTTACTGACTGTGAAATTCGGTGTTTATATAAAGTTAACCGTGATCTGTTGTCACTGTTTCATTCAGAACTCGCGTGTCATATCATCAATTACCGTCAAAAAACACACTGCTGATCGCATAGGCTTCGATTTCATTTGATCAACTACTCAGTAAATAGAAGATCTCTATCAAAACTATTATCTACATTCAAGGATCATAACAATCTTTTCATTTTTCACTGAATCATATTTCTTGAATAATATCTTCTAATCCTAACCTCTCCGATTACTTCTAATACCCTTACTACCTCTACTACGATTGGCTTTGAATTGACAATTACATCTCTGTGCTGATGTGGTATGGCAACATGAACTGATGTACTTACGTACAAAGTTGTACGTTGCATCTGACTCATAGACTGACTGACTGATTAAACGATTATTGACCTTGACGTACCTCGTTTAAATTAGACGTACATCGGTGACTTGTTTATGATTGCGGATCGCATGACCGTAAACACTAGAACACGCATCCCATATTATTTTTGTGTTTAAATTAATATATATATATTTGAGTTTGAATTATGGAGCTTCCGAGATGGTCCAGTTACTTTTTGAAATTATGAATCGATAAATGTTAGACTACCATTAGAAACCTGAAAGCACTGCACGGCCGCTTCTTCCTGGTATGGAACTCATCAGAAATGAGCATCCATGACTCCTACTACTCGCAAAATTTGAACTCAAACCTTCGGTCTTGCGCGCAAACACTTAACCTTTGGAACACTGAGCTGGAATCCAACAGTGTAATTATGTATAACTTTGATCGATCCACGACTATATCCACTGTCTTAGGTGAGCACTGCTTTACACCCTAACAAGGTTGAACTTTACTGTTCACGACTTTTCACTAGGACTGAGAGAAACTTCTTCACGGAGTTAGTCACTGTTGAGCACATGATAATATGCGATATGAAATCATGAATTGATCAGCGTTAAACTACTTACGGGTTCGAATCCTTCTAGTAGCAGGAATCGTGAGCTCGCACTGCTGATGAGTCCCATACTATAGGCTGAAATAGCCGTTCAGTGCTTCCGAGCTTCTAATAATGGTTTAATATATGCGATTATTGTTTCTTGTCTCGATGAATTAATAAATTTTCTGCCCTCCACCAACTTCACCAGTGATGTCTTAGTGGTTTTGAACACTTTCCTACTTAATCAGTTATATAAACTAGTCATTTAAGGAGTTAACATTATGATGAAATCAAGAAGAAACCGGCTATGAATGTTGATGAAAATAAGCTGAGAAGAAAAATACTGTATGACAAAATGAGAACCAACCCTTAATGAAGTGTTTACAATTGATCCAACTTTCTTTGCCTAACTAACACTCAACTAATTCAATCTAAATTGAATCCTATTTTAGTGATTGAGTTTTATATTTGTTAGCTTGAAAAAACTGGTAATTAGTTTGATGATAATCAAAACTTTCATCAACATAAAGTAGCTAGCTTTTCATTGAGTGGTCATCAAAATAAATAACCGATGAGAATTTTCTCTTTTGTATACAAAATTGTTTAGATCATAATTAATAAAGGGAGAGATTGTTAATGACTAGTTGAATTTTCGGTAGTCTGGGGAAGAAAATGTTTAGCTTTGAAACGATAAACGTTATGTTACAGTTTCTCTAAGAATAACAATACCAGAATATAGGTACAACGAATTGATTAGTTTTATTTGTAACCATGAAAGAAACCTGGAAGCACTGGACGGCCGTTTCGTCCCGGTATGGGACTCTCCAGCAGTGCGCATCCACGACTCAGGACTCAGGACCTTCGGCACTGCACGCGAACGCCCCAACCGTTAGACCACCGAGCCGGTGTTCAACGGTGTTAATGTTTAACTTGATCAAATTCACGGAGTTGCGCAACCTCATACCCTGTATACATCCGAACAGGTTTGAACTTCACTGCTCACGACTTCCCACTAGAACTCGGAGAAGATTCCTCACGAAGCTAGTCACTAGTGGACACATGTAATTGCGTTGATTAGTCTTGAAAATCAAACAGAATGCACTTCCTGAATTCCAGTGCTAGTCATAAATTCAAAATTGGGATTCTTTCAAAGGAATTTATCTTATTTCTTGACATTTAAGGTTGATTGTATCGATATACTGATTAGGATACTTGAAACATTCGTTGGAATTTGAGTAAGTTTTGGAAGATGAGGTTTAATCATAGTGTGAAGCTTTTAAATTACTTACTTACTTACGCACGCCTGTTACCCATAATGGAGCATAGGCTGTCGACCAGTATTCTCCAACCAACTCTGTTCTGGGTCTTTGTTAGGATATTCATCCAATATCCTAAGAGAATTATTGGTCAATTTTATGGTCGTCCTAGATATCAATGTCACGTGCCCCAATGTTGTTTCTTATTGGTTGTCCTGACTATCAATGTCACTTCAAATGTTGCTTCCTATTGGTCGTCTTAACTGTCAATGTCACAGACTTCGATGCTGTTTCCTATTCGACCAAAATGTATGTATACGCATTATCTGTAACGTTTTATGACCACGACCAAGACCAGGATCCGGTCCCAGATACCTAGTCCGGGATCTTGATTCTCTTCTGGACTCAGACCTTGTACTTTCTGGATACTTGTAGAATACAGGTTTTACTTCATATCAAGTCTTATTTTTACTCAATATGGGGGTTGGGATAATCGGATTTGTGTAGTATGTCGTGTCACCGGATCCTCGATCCTCGCTCTCGTTTTCCCACTAGGTAAACTCGTAATAGTTCAAGCATATCAAAATGACGTGTTTACGTGCAGGCGTAACAGTCTTGCTGTTTATTTCTATCCCACTGTTGTTCACTCTGAACATGTCTGTCTTTGATTTTCGGCGTAATTTGTTCCTTAGCCTTCCTCATATTCCTTTAGCTTTTAGGATTCCAAGTGATGGCTTTTCTTGGACTTCTTCTTGATTTCTTTCTCAGATGGAATCTGGTTTGTTCTCTCCTACAGTAGGTTGTGTTGCTGATGGTTTCTGGCCAATGAATCTGAAGTATTTTGCTTAGACAGCTGTTAATAAACACTTATATCTTGTGGATGACAGCTTTTTTGGTTCTCCAAGTTTCCGCTCCATACAGTAGAACTGTCTTGACATTTGTATTGAAAATTCTGATTTTGGTGGAAGCTTTCAAATACTCAAGTTATTTACTAAATTCTCGTTTTATCCATAGACCCTGATTGCTAGAATGTGTACATAGTGTTAAGCATCTCATATGAACTGAAAATCTGATCGTCATTGCGAATAATTGTCAATTTATCTCTTAACTGACGAAAGCTTATTCTATCTTAGAACCAAAATGGAATTTTTCAATCATCATAGTAGACAATTAGATTTTCCAATGATTTCGTTATAATGTATGATGAATTTTATTTTATCGCCGAAAAACTAGATTTTTATTCATTACATCAGTTAACTGTAATCAAATTTAGGAAAAGGGAAAATTATGCATTGGTTCAAGCCGTTATATCACATCAGTACAATAAGATAAAGTCATTCGAAAGATATAAGTGTTTATCAGCTTCGGATCCGCTGATCAGCAACAACCTACTGTGGGAATGAACAAACCAGATTCCAGCAGACAAAGAAATCAGGAAGAGGAACTGGAGTTGAAGGTTTGGACATACGTTACGGAAAGAGCTCAACTGCATCACAAGACAAGCCCTCACTTGGAATCCTCAGGGCCAAAAGAAAAGAGGAAGGCCAATGAACACATTATGCGCCGAGAAATGAGGACAGTCGGGAAAAGTATGAACGGCGATTCGACAGAACTGGAAAGTTCATTTATCCAATTTTAATTGTGGTACATAGTCTGTACTAACTATAATTTAACTCCACATGTAGACCCGGATAAAGGAGGAGGGTTGAGATTGGGGTTAGCGACCTCATCCCACAAAAAACTAACTCGCTAAAAAAACGCTGACAAGATAAAATAATTCAAACCATATAAACTCTGCTCTGGAAGTGTGAAGGTCTCCTCATTTAAAAGAGTTATGATGTCTAATGATGAAATCCAAATCCCTTCGGAAGTCACAAGGCTGATGCCTCTTCTGACAACCGGAAAGCTTCCACGGTGTGGGCAGCGGGGAAGTAACATCCGTCCTCAAACCTATCAAAGCAGACGAAACCAAATTGGTCACAATCATATCCTTTCTACACCTCCCAATAACCCCCCTTATTTCCTCGACCAACTCTTGCTTCAAATGTTTGTTACCTCGCGTCGCTGAAGCAAACGGTTTGAGCTCAGGAAACATCATTCCTGGTCTTCTATAAACTCCGTAATAAATTACGTGTTGGAGCTTTTAATGTTTGAACCTTGTACCGAATAGGACAACAGGCTTTATTTTAGTGACCCTTGATGGAACCCTAGAATTTCTGATTACTGCTAATAACTTTACTACTACTACTACTACTACTACTACTACTACTACTACTACTACTACTACTACTACTACTACTACTACTACTACTACTACTACTACTACTACTACTACTACTACTACTACTACTACTACTACTACTACTACTACTACTACTACTACTACTACTGCTACTACTACTGTGGTGCTGTGGTGCGAACTACTTATAAGTAGTAGATAACGTGAGTGTCAACGTAATGTCTGGTAGCATAATATGGGGGGAAGATCAAGAAAGGAAGAGTTAGAAAACAATGGAATTTGTATGAAACCCATGAATAGTGACAATCGATTGATGTTTGGCAGCAGGAACAGTCCAGTTCCATAGGATGAACTGATCTTTTGCAAATGAACGATTTACGATATGGTTTTCCGATTTTACTGACTAACTCTGTAATTTTCGTTAAGTACAATTCGGTTGCCCCCACCTGTGTTCTCATTCACTACACTACTACTACTACTACTACTATGTGATTTGAATTGACAATTACATTTCTATTCTAATATGACATGTCAACTTGAACTGGTGTATGCATGTACGTACGAAGTTCTATGTTGCTCTGTTGATTGATTGATTGATTGATAACTTTAATTTCATATTGAACTTACTTTAAACTGTTTAAAAAGGACGATGCTGATGAAGATGACGATGCTGATGGTGTAAATGTTAATTCATCTTCATTTATCTCAGTCATATCAGTTTTTTGTTGTTTTTGTCGTTGGATTAAATCATTGAACTCTTGATCATGTTGAACAAAATCATCATTTCTTTGAATTGATGTCATTTGTCCCGATGGAAATGAATTGCTTTGTTGCACAGTATTTAAATGTCTTATAAAACGTATTTGTATACGTTGACCATAGCCACCTTCAAGTTTCCATTTACAATTATTCAGATTGAATGATTTTTTTGTTTTAATTAAATAATCTGGTATATGAAGGTAACCAGTTGATTCTTTGCCGTAACTTTTAATTGTAAATTGACATGGATCTAATAAGGAAAAAAAAGAGAATTTGTTAGAAAGTTTGAATGTATTTGGTTAACTTATATTGTGGTGTGTGCTACTTATACGAACGATATAAGTAGTATAAGGAGGGACGTGAAAGAAGAAGTCTCACGGTCAGAAGAGGAAAACGGAAAGCAAATGAAGCAAAAGCAAGAAGTAAATGGAGTAGTACCAACAGGAAGTAAAGGAAGCAACAACAAGAATGGAAGAAGGATGGAGCGCTGGAAGTCACGACTCAAAGATGGTGTGCAAATAGAGTGTTCAATGTAATGTTTTCGTTTTTAATTGAGTGAGTGTAAATTGGCTTAACACGGTCTTCCACTCCCGCCTCAGTCTTCTCAATATTACAAGTGATAAGCTCTAAGACTAACGAGTAGCTTCTGCAACCGTTGTCAGTCAAACAGTAGAGATTGAAGGCTTTTGGAGACTGCCGCATTTCATTAAAATTTTGATTCAATTTGAATTCTGGAACTACTAGGCAGTCGTTCAGCCTTACTAAGCCTTTATGGGTGAGCTTGATGGCCCTTTGTTCGATCCCTATTTGATGGGTCGTGGACGCGCACTGTGTATAAGTCCCCTACTATAATGCTACTCGCAGCACGACTTATAAGATGTATGCAGCGCAGTGTCACTCAGAAGTTACTACTGAAGAAAAGAATGTCAGATCCAAATTTATGATAGGATCAAAGAGTTTCGAACAATAAAAGACATGAAAGGAGACAGCTAATAATATGTGCTTGTTTTGCAAATGGAATTCTGAAGACAAGGTGTACACATTTTGTTGATAAACTATGTTTACTCCAAATTAATTACTATTCAGAGATGGTGGAGAAAAACTGTAGCTCAGGTAGATGATTGTGGTGAGGTTTCGTTCTCTGAGCTGGATGTTTTGGTTGAGGACAGACAGACAGACAGATACAACGCAGAACTTTGTACGTACGTACATCAGTTCAGGTTGCCATGCCCCATCAGCACAGAGACGCAACTGTCAGTTCAAATCCAAGAGTGATAGCAATAATAGAAGTATTAGCAGTAATGGAGAAGATTAGGGAGTGAAGATATGATTCGAAAAGTATAATTCAGTGAGATAAATTTAGAAGGAGAAAGGTAGAGATTATGCAGAATGCAGAAGCTTAGAATTTCATAGAACACAAAGAGTGGATGCACCTGCACCATTGCAAACGATTCTGAGCCATGTCATTCAAGGTCTCTAACCATTGGTGACTTTCGTCTCGCGGACCCCAACCAGGTAGCCTACATCTACCAACATGACTCAGTCCACTTGTCAGTGACTTCATAGATTTGTGCCATGTTTTGGTTTGGCCGCCCCTAACTTTCTTCCAACCTACTCCTACACCACAAAACATAACTCGTCGCGGCAGTCGGTGGTTAGCCATACGTAACACATGTCCCAACCACCTGAACTGATGAAGTTCCACTACTTCATCTACTGATTTGCCATCCCTACCTAGAACTCGTATCCTAACGACAGCAGTGCCTATACGGTTGACCCATGATACACGAGCAATGCTTCGGAGACATCGATGATCGAAGATTAGTAACCTACGGAAGTCCTCTACTCTTAACGGCCAAGTCTCGCATCCGTACAGTAGGACGGAGCGAACTGCTGCACAGTACACTCGTCCTTTAGTCAGCAAACGGAGGGAGCATTCATTGTTCTCTTCTTAACACAAAATTATCAGAACAAACTTCAGGTGGGATCAGTGAATTGTTCGAATTCCTCCAGTGTAAGACGCGTAGCTTGTTCTGATTGGTTTTTATCGACCTAAAAATTCCCTCGTGTTCATTGTGCTTTTTTGAGAGCCTCGTACTCAAGTCAGTCAATATTCAACAAACATATCCAAATTGACCCAATTTATCAACGAATCAGAAAAAAAACTCAAAGACAAACATAGGATCAAGAAACTGATCACGAGGGGATACAATCAAAAGAAAGATGCAGACTCTGACAGGTTTAATGTCAATGACAGCTGTAGTGAAGGAGAACACAGGTGGGGCGACCGGATTGTATTTAACGAAAATTACAGAGTTACTCAGTAAAATTGGAATACCATATCGTCAATCGTTAATTTGCAAAATATCACTCCATCATATCGAACTGGACTGTTCCTGTTGCAAGACATCAATCCATTGTCACTCACTATTCATGCGTTTCATACAAATTCCATTGTGTTCCCACTCCTCCTTTCTCGATCTTCCCCCATCTTCTGATGCCAGACATTACGTTGACACTCACATCATATACTACTTATAAGTAGCTCACACCACACAATCAATCAAAAAAGTGAGGTTAACAGAACAAGGTACCAGTCAAACACGAGGAGAAATTCAAATACTTCACTTCTTCTACCTGAAGTTTGTGCTGATGATGTTGTGTTGTCTGGTAGAAGAACAAGCTACCACAATCCAAAACACCTAGCTCAGAGAATAAAACTCCACCACAAACTATTATTCCATCTAGTTGTTCTACTTAAAACTCTATCATCGTATATCAAAGTTAATAAATCGCTAAAACTGTCCAAAACTTTCTACAAAATGCCAAACGTGTGCAGTGTAAACTTATCCGACTACACAGTATCGGTTACAAATTCAGTCAGTCAGTCACTCACTCACTCACTGCCACTTACCATCATCATCATCACTATTGTCCGATAAATCCTGACGAATAGGCATGAATCTATTGTGATTATTATTATCGTCATCATTATCAGCAATATATTGATTTTCATTCGGGACAGATCCATTAAGATTGGCATATTCATAAGACAGAATAAAACCTAATTCATTTTGATTAGTTAAATGATCTGTGATAAAATTAATGTATACATGATTCATTTGAAATCGTTGATTGCGTATAATTTTTTCTTGTGGTACAGCAGATGTTCCGCATAAAATTAATTGTGGTGTATTATTATTTAAATAACCATATTCATAAAGTTCGATACGATCGCCAACAAGTTGTGTACATCTATGTGGATGAAAGTATTTAGGGAAATGTAAATGTAATGTTATTAAGCAATAAAAGTAATAGAGAACAAAATAAAAGTCGATAAAAAACATGTTAATAGAAAGATTACTGATTTCATATGTCACGATTGACATGAACTATTTGGAATGTTTAATCATAGAGTAAATTATTAATTTGTTGGTTGGTTTTTTCTATTATGGTTCTATAAAGATCAGGAATGGATCATTGATAGGACATCATTAGACACCTGGAAGTACTTCACGGCTGTTTCGTACTACAGTATGGGACTCATCAGCAGTAAACGATCAAGACTCCTGTTACTCGCGGAATTCGAACCCAGGACGTTCGGTCTTTGGGGCGATCGCTCAACCTCTGCATCGATGAGCCAGCGCCCAACGGTGTCAATGTCTAATTCCGATCAATCTATGGATTTTGGACATAGATACCATTGGATACTTCTTCGTTGTTCGCAGGTGGGCTAAAGGCCCTAGGTTCGATACTCTGTGGTTCAGGCGAGAATTTCCTGCTACTGAGTACTCTCATAGTAGGACAAAACTGCTTGCGAATGCTTGATGGTTTTAAATGATCGTATAACTAAGATCAGTCAGTGATACAAAATATAATCATTAAACAGTCTTCACAAAGCCACCATATTTTCGTGGTTGAACTCAGGACTGATAGGTTCGTGACCAAGTATGCTTGAAACTATTACGGGTTCACCTTAGTCGATGAAAGCGAACGAGACAATGAACCAGCATCCAGGTAGGCTACCCTGATCCAATGGTTAACCAAAAGGTCTTGATATAGCGTAGAAAGTATATTCTACATACACCCAGGAAGCTCAATGCATTCAAGCACTCAAATCTCGTTTATTTATACATCATATGAACGTCCTTGAGACAGTCACAAAAATAGCACACTAAAATACACAGCAACCAATCATAGCCAAGGATTTTCCTTGTGGGAAATGAAATCTCAAGGTCAAACTGATCAGCTCATGCTCGCAAACGTAAAATCCAAATTGAGTTCTGGGATCTAACGTCCCGAACTAGGACCTTCTGTGCAAGTGGATTATTTTTAGGCTACTGAGGTGGCATCCATGGGAGAGAACAAACCAGATTACAGTGAAGGAGGAAATCAGGAAGAAGCGGTGTAGGTGGATAGGACACACATTACGAAAAGCACAAGACAAGCCCTCACATGGAACCCTCAAGGCAAAAGGAAAAGAGGAAGGCCAAAGAACACACTACGCCGAGAAATAGAGAAAGATATGAGAAGAATGAACAAAAAATGGACGGAACTAGAAAGGGAAGCCCAGGACAGAGTTGGCTGGAGAAAACTGGTGGGTGGCCTATACTCCGTTGGGGGTAACAGGCGTAAGTAAGTAAGTAAGTAAGTAAGAGGTAGCATCCAGTTTCGCTGTCCTCAGAATAACTTTTGATAGTAGATGACTGCCAAAAGTATGTTGTATACCAGAAAAAATGTGTAGATGTCAGTCGTGTACAGAATTCAATGATTTTCAATCACTGTCAAGTATTCTCAAGTATAGAAAGTGTAGTGTGTGTAATTTTATGTCCAGCCCCCCACAAGGAATTGTCCTACCCTTCAAACAAATTCACTAATTCATTATTCTCGAATTAGTATTCATTCACCTTTCGACCTTGTCAATTATTTACTTATAACCTTGGATTTTTAAGTGTGAGTGGGTGTATGCCTGTTTACTTCATCGATCACATGACTAGCTCTTCTTTTTTGTCTGACTATAAAAGTACTTCATCATGCTTCATTGCATGGAGTTTGCTCATTCGCCCTCTTCACTTCACTTCACTTCGCTTTGCTTTGCTTGTACACTTTTCATTTTCATGTCTGACTGCATAGATGATTGCTTGAAATAAAATTCACCTAATGGAATCTGTATTTGGCTTCTTATTACTAGAGCATTGTACAAACAGTGTTTGCGAAAGTATTGAGAAGACTGAGGCAGGTGCGGCAGATTGTACTATGCAAATTTACACTCTTAGTCAATTAAAAACGAAAACATTACATTGAACATTCTATTTGCACACCATCTTTGAGTCCTGACTTCCAACACTCCATCCTTCTTCCATTCCTGTTGTTGCTTCCTTTCCTTCCTCTTGGTACTCCATTTACTTCTTGCTTTTGCTCCATTTGCTTTCGGTTTTCCTCTTCTGACCGTGAGACTTCTTCTTTCACGTCCCTTCTTATACTACTTATATCGTTCGTATAAGTAGCACACACCACAGTATGATATAAGGAAACTGAAGAAGAGACTTATTTCATAGCACATTCAATTGTTCATAGATGTAGGACTCATATCCAGGGCTGCTAAATTTAGTCATTCTAAACAATCATACTGATTAACAATTAAACTTTGACAAATATATACATTTATATATAAATCAATCAACCAACTTACTTAGTACTTGGTATATAATTATTTCCTAATTGAATACTTGAAAATTTCAATCGAAGCAGCTTGCCTTCGGGAATATTAAAAATATATAACAGTCTCATATTCTGAGGATAGACTAATGGATAGTTTGGTGATTTAATGATACCTCGAGGTTTCAATGGATCCAGCCAGTAGTGTTTGATTTGTGGAATAGTTTGTTTTTTAATTGTTGAGTCAGCTAAGTAAGAGACAGACCAAGAGAGAGAGAGAGAGTAGGTGTGTGTGTGTGTAATTTATTGATTAACAAATTATACAATAAATATACAATTATACTACTACTGTAGGAAAGAACAAACCAGATTCCAGAGGAGGAAGAAATCAGGAAGAAGCGCTGGAGTTTGTAGATAGGACATACATTGAGGGAAGCACACAACTGTGTTACAAGACAAGCTTTCACTTGGGACCCTCAAGTTCAAAGGAAAATAGGAACGCTAAGAAACACATTACGCTGAGCATTGGAGACAGACATGAGAAAAATGAACAATATTCTCGACAGAACTACAAAGGGAGGTTGAGGACAGAGTAGGTTGGAGAATTCTCGTCAGCGGTCTCTGTACCACTACGGGTAACAGACGTTAGTAAGTGCGTAAGTAAGTAAGTGAGTAAGTAAGTAAGTAAGTAAGTAAGAAAGTAAGTAAGTGCATAAGTAAGTAAGTAAGTAAGTAAGTAGGTAAGTAACTAAGTAGGTAAGTAAGTAAGTAGGTAAGTAAGTAAGTAGGTAAGTAGGTAAGTAAGTAAGTAAGTAAGTAAGTAAGTAAGTAAGTAAGTAAGTAAGTAAGTAAGTAAGTAAGTAAGTAAGTAAGTAAG